CTAATATTTCAATACTAATTTGCATAAAATTTAAGAGAAATTATAATTTGTTATTATAAATTATTAGTAAAATGCTGGTTGAGTTCATATGTTATGCTATACTATTAAAATGCAATGATATATTTTGTGTATTACATGCATTTATTGCATTATTATAACACCGGCTCCACAAATGATATTGCATTTTTGCTATAACTTGGCTGTAATTGCAATTTATGTTAGTATGAGTAGAATTAAACAAATAAAAAACTTTTTTTAAAATTAATTTTTGTTTAAAATAACAACATTAAAAATTTTCTTACAATAAATTTAAAAAATTTGACGCATTTTTCAAAAATAAGTAGCAAAATCCGGCCAGGTTACAATCTACAGGCATTCTAAACAACGTACACATACTGTATGCTGTGCACACATAATAGGAACAGTTGAAGTGACACTATTGGAGACTATGGACAAAATGGCAAAAATTTAGTAGTTTTGAGATTACTTCTATAATAAGAGGTCAAGCATATTGACCATATCATAACAAAAACTCCCGCAGTTGATGAGTATTTTGATATATCATTTGAATTTTTTGACCGAATATGTTTCGAGATATTCGACTTCGAAATGTTATAGTCGATTAATGTACACCCTGTATATACAAGTGTACACTGGGTACAAATCCTATCTAGGACTCTTATACTAAAAAGTTCAAACTTTTGAGTCTAGCTCTTAAACGAATAATCCAATTAGTAACTCAACTAAAACACATAATTTTAAATTATCAAGAATTACAATAATGAATGTTTCACAAATATAAAATTGATATATTTATTATTTGCAAAAACATGTTTCTATCTGGATTATACAAAATCTTACATATATGGTTTTAATCAAGTAAAAATAATCAAATAGAAATCATATGGCCAGCGGTATATAAATGTCCAAGATCTTCCAATAAATGCTGCAAACCATTAGTTATGACCGATTGGTTGGCTATTGTGGGCTCAACTCGTGTGCAACTAATATACTTAGCCTGAGGCCTGTCTTTGAGCACAACGTGACGCAAATCGCGCTGACCTGAGATATCAATGACCAGTGCGTCGGCCGGCAGTCGATCCACAGCCGACTTGACGTCGACCGGCGACCAAAGCATTGACGCCATAAACTCGGCGAATGTGTATTCGGGAGGCGATGATAGAGACGGCCCGCCAGTCATCGGCGGCGGCACTGAAGTGAGCCAACGGGCGCTGTGTTGTCGGCGCTGAGGGTCCGGCACTACGCGTTCAAACTGTTTACGCAACGTGTCGTACGTGTCGGCCATGAAGGCCGAGCCGGTGTGTATGCTATAGGGAGCCAACCATAATGGTTTAGTTATTCGCCCTTGTTCGTTCAATTCATCAATTAGGGCCCGAACAGGCGCTTCATAACCGGTTACGTGAGTACGCCTGACGTTCAAGTGATGGCACGGGTATAGAGTGGGCGTACCGGCCGATGTGGTTGGTCAGCGCTCGCACCTAGTGGTCAACTCTGACCAGGTGCAATCGGTGGCCGCTTGCAGTAATAACCCATGGTTGTATTCATCGGTGGCGCGCAATTGCGCTGCGCTATACGCTAATAAACATTGGCGCCGATCGGCCCACCCGTCCATATAAGCGCACATCACTTCGCCTAATGAGTGACCAAAGTAGCCGTCGGGTGTTATGCCCAGCGCTCGTAGTGTGTCTACGATAGCGAACTGATAGGCCAAACACTGTATGCCTCCCACACCGGCAAATGGTTTGTCCCCAAACTTGAATCGATAGCCATTAATACAGTCCATGAGATTGACTCCCAATGGGGCGACTATTTTGGCCGATTCTAACCACGATTCTCGAAACGCTCGGACAGACATCAGTGGTTGGATGTAATTGCCGACGAACTCACGATTACCTATACATGTAACTTTTTATATATATTATTATATTCATATTTTTATACACAATTCTATAGGACTAATGCTAATCTTAAGAAAATAATTACAGTGCATGTTAACTCTCTAAAATTAATGCTAAGTCCATGGATAATAATAAACGTATGCCACTTATGTTAATCCTAAAAGTATAATGTTGAGTTAATGGGACTAATACTAATCGTATGGGAATAGTGCTTAATCTACGGGATTAATTCTATGAGATCCATGCTTAGTGGCAAGTCTGTTGTACTCATATTAAATCTATGGAAAATGTTAATTTATTTTTGGAGCAATACTCGAATGTGGGTAACGTATTGCATCGCTGTTTGAACTTTGTTTAACATGGGGTTTACACATAAATGTAATTTTTAAGGACACCAAATGGGTGCGTTTTGGGTGCATTCGTCACGGAAAAAGTAATTTTTTGTGCGAAACAAAAATAAATTAAATTAAATTTCATAATTTTTACAGACATAATATTTTTATACACATGATG